TGTGTACATGAAGGGCACTTTCTAAACTGTACAACACTATAGAAATGAAAAGGCCAATTCTCACTGCTGACACATGTAATGTCAGTTGATTTGACTCCCAGAACTAGCCTATGGAGTTGGTGAATTATTGTCACCAATTTACAGTAAATGTAGGTATAGTTCTTTTCCAAAGGGGTCAATGCCTTGACAGAAGTTGAAGGACAAGTCACAGAATGAAGAAGCTCAGAAGTTTTAGGCCACGAACCTCAATCAAAGCCATAATCTGAGCTTTTTCTCTAGTTAGGAATGTCATAACAGACGTTCAAAATGGATGGGATGTGAGGAAAAGGAGCATTTTTATGGCCAGAGGGAGAAGTGGATTCACTCATGACTCATCATACTTTAACTCCTAGATATTAAGAATCTTCATTAAACCCCTTTCAGGGTCTGACCAAAGCAAGCACTTGAGCCCATGTTTATTTAAAAGGAATACTAAGCATTTTTTCCATATTAAAATCTTTGCGCATAATTCTCTGCACAGCATGGTGCAAGGCAATTGGAGAGAAGGCTAGATAAAAGATGATATTTACTGTTTTTGCTCCTAATCTAACTGCTGCTAGAGTCATTAAACCCTTTGGAGGCAGGGATAGGAACCATTGCCTTCTGGATTTGTAAGGAATTCCTATTATGCTATAATTTCAAAATCTAAGCTACATCTGAAAAAGAGGTCAAAATGACCCGATTTTTCCACATCTCCTGCCATAGAAAGGTGTCTGCTTTCTCTATAACTTCTGAAATTTGCATCTTGAAACCCCACTGGTGTGCCATGCCTTTGTTGTGGGGACTATTCAGACTGGAGCAGGGGCACCCAGATCAGTCAAGGCTTCTCTTGTTGTTTTAAACAAACCTGACATTTGGCGGGAGGAGGCCAGGGCAGCAAGTAGCAGGCTGATTAGATTTCCAGCTCCGGGTCCCCCTTCACCCTCCCTGACTGTCGTTCACGCCCTCTGATCAGAAGCAGATTCTGCATGGAGCCAGCAAGGCTCTCTGGCCAGTCACAAGGGGAGAGAGGGTTGTTGTTGTTGAATTCAAGTTGTATAGCTTTTCCAGAATTGACCATATGTATTAATGGGAATTATTCACTTTTCCTCCAAGGTCTTTGCTTTTCCTCTTGTTCATGATTACTCTGGTCGTTAATGACAGGTAAGTGGGTGAGCGTACCTCATTAGGAGCCCACATCTCACACACGCCTCCAGCTGAAATGCAGGGGCATCTGGATCAGGAGGCTAAAGTTTTCCTGCAAAGAGTATTGGCACAAGAGTCAAGAGACCTGAGTTCTCGTGAATAAACTACAAGGGAAGAGCGGGAGATGTGATGAGTCCAAAGGCTGGAGGGCCTTTCCTAATTCTACTTCTGCCAGGTAAAAGGTCTTGACTAAGTCACTTCATCATTATTTTTTTTACTTCATCATTTTTTGATGCTGTTTACTCACAATAAAAACAGTGAACATTTGCTGAAGATACTGCCTGTGTCAGGCACTGAGTTACTTTCCACACATTAGCTCATTTATTTCTGAAAACCTTCATAAGTAGACATAGTATCTCTACTTCATAGATGAGAGCAAGGAGGCTCACTAATTTTCTACACGTTCCAGAGCAGAGGAGCTTAGGGGTGAACCAGAGCCCACACTTTTAACCCCATGTGAAACTGAGACATCGGAAAACTCGTGTGTGTGTGTGTGTGTGTGTGTGTGTGTGTGTTGGGAGGGTGCAAAAGGCTTGAACATGGCCCCAGGTTTCCATGACGCAACAGTAGCACCTGACAAAGAACGACTTTCTCAGAACCAAAGGGAAGCACCATCCAGACCTAATCTGCTGGCACTGTGGGGGTGGGGGAAACGTCCTCGTTGCCCATCCCATCCCATAACCAAGGCACAGTGCATGACTCTTTCAAGGGAACTGGGGAGGTCAGGGATCATTTTAATTAAAACTTCCACGTGACATGAGGAGAGAGGCCAGCCACAACTAAGTTCTTCGAAGCAGGCCTTTCTTAGTGAGGAAGGAAGAAGCAAGGACCCAGGAGAAGCGACATGAGCACCCTGTGTCCTCCTAGTCCACTGCAGCCAAGGATGTGCCCCCCAGGTGTGAAATCAAACAGTACTCTCGTTTTACAGATGAGGAAAATGAGGTCTAGAAAACCCAGGTGGTGGTGGTTTAGTGGCTAAATCACGTCCAACTCTTGTGACCCCATGGACTGTATGGCGTCCACCAGGTTTCTCTGTCCATGGGAATTTCTCAAGCAAGAATACTGGAGAGGGTAGTCATTTTCTTCTCCGGGGAATCTTCCTGACCCAGGGATGGAAACAGGGTCTCCTGCATTGCAGGCGGATTCTTTACTGACTGAGCCAGCAGGGAAGCCCAGGGATTTACCTGATTCACATAGTCTGGGGGCCCCAGGCCTCTCTCCCCGGCACTGTGCCCAGGAGCAGCCCACTAGGAAGGCTGCTAATAAATGCATGTAAAGAGAGCAGAGGCCACATCTGTCTGAACATCACTGTCCATGCGGTATTCTTATCTCAACAGCTCCCAAGTTAGAGCCAGCTTCTAAAAGAATTCAATTTAACTGAACTTCCAAGTGTCAGAAACACCTGTTCAAACCTAAGCACCAGATACCGTGTTAAGCATTCACCTCCCATTACAATCGCTTTTTCCAGGCAAAGCCATTCTTCCTAAAGAACTCAACCCCAACTGTAACTTTGGAGCAAAGAGTAAAATTAGATCTTGTATTTCTCAGCTTCTGAACACAAAGATCCTTAGTCCACCTTTACTACGGTTGCCAAATGGACTGCTTTTCTTTTAAAGGTTGGAAAGAATTCTACTTGCCTCCCTGCCCCCTCCCCAATGTCAAACTGTTGATTGTGTGCCTGGTTTACGATGTTATTAAAAAACAAAGAGGGGTCTCAAAGTTTATAACCCACCCCCAGAGTGGGGAAGTCAAAAGAAAAACTTCATGCAGTGCACTCTGTGGACCATCAGCTGTTTATATTTGATGCAGAGAAGGCAAGAGTAGCTAACCGCCTATCCCACTGAGCACTTGAATAGGACAGCCAACCTCCCGTCCACAATCAAGTCAGCAGCACTGACAGAGGGCTTTGGAATAAACCAGGTTTAGGCTTGAACCCCAATTTTTACTTGCTTTTGACTTTGAGCATATCACTGAACCCCTCCGAGCTTCAGATTTTCCATTTGAGTGATGGGAATACTAAGCCCCGATTTTACACACAGTGTTCTTAATATTGGGCTTCCCTGGTGGCTCAGAGGGTAAAGAATCCACCTGCAATGCAGGAGACCCCAGCTCAATTTCTGGGTCAGGAAGATCCGCTGGAGAAGGGATAGGCTACCCACTCCAGTATTCTTGGGCTTCCCTTGTGGCTCAGCTGGTAAAGAATCCACCTGCAATGCGGGAGACCTGGGTTGGGAAGATCCCTGGAGAAGGAAAAAGGCTACCCACTCTGGTATTCTGGCTTGGAGAAGTCCATTAAGTTTCTCCCTTCTTGGCTTGCTAATACAGGCCAAAGATAAGCTTCCATGTTTGGATTAACACAAAGACGACTTAGAATCTAGAAGAGAGAATTTTTGATCTTGGTAGACGTGATGCCTAGCCCTTTGCCCATGTTGCTGGGGTTCAAGGACAAAGAAAAAACTGAAAATAGCAGATATGTGGAATGGATGGCTGTGAAAATGTATGAACTACAAATTATAAGACTGGATTCCCTCACTCTTCCCCTCCCCTGCTCTAAATGGACACATCTAAAACAAGGCTGTGATCTAAGCACAGCCCAGATAGACAACACCCCAATTCCCACGTGGCTGCCATTGCTCAAAATAATTCTGGACCTTGTCAAGCGGGTAGCACATTTTTGCACCTGCATTGAGGGCTTCATCCTCTAAGGGAAGATCTGGATATAAGTCTAGACTTTACCTCCAGGTATGAGCAACCTGGTCAGCAATTAAGAGTTTACCAAGTACTTCAATATTCATGATCTCTTTTACTCCTCACTGCAAAGCTTTGAGACAAGATGGTCACCCTTGGTTTTAATGATGTACAGCTTGGCAGTGGAGGGCAAGGTCTAGAACCTAGGTCTTTGGACTGCAAGTCTCATTTACCAGGTAAGAGAATTAAACAATATGCCAGATCATGCCAGCAGCATTATCACTGTCAGAGCAGCAGCACAATAGTGTGGGAAAAATATAGAAAATGCCCAAGATATTCAGTAAGGCATTTCTCCTGTCCTCTGGGGCTCAGATTTACAGCATGGTGGCTCAGAGCTCAGACTCTGGGGTAAGGGACATGCATGTGTGCTCACTCAGTCGTGTCCAACTCTTTTGTGAGCTCACGGACTGCAGCCTTGCCAGGCTTCTTGGTCCATGAGATTCTCCAGGCAAGAATACTGAAGTGGGTTGTTGTGACCTCCTCCAAAGGATCTTCCTGACCCAGGGATCAAACCCGCATCACTTACATCTCCTGCATTGGCAGCCGGGTTCTTTACCACTTGCACCACCTGGGAAGCCTGAGGTAAGGAAGACAACTAGGTTTAAACCCCAACTCTATCACTCATGAACCAAGTGACCTTGGGAAAATTATTTTTACTCTGTGAACCTCCATTTCTTAATTTGTAGAAGAAAGATAAGGACAATATCTACCCTTTGACTATTGTAGAGATAATGTATGCAAAGTATTTTAGAAGGTTGCTTAGCATACTTTTATAATACTTACAGTGTATATATGTATATATTTTTTATTTTAAAATATTGAGTTGGACAAAAATCCCATTTGGATTTTGAAAACCCCAAACAAATTTTTGGCCAACACAATACTTTGAGTAATAATGTATTAACTGCATGAAATAGTGTTAATCAAGTGAAATTCTACTTGATCTTCTAAGCCTCTGCTATATCAGATAGACCATGACATGCTGCCAGAGTGTCAGATAGGTTGCCCACCACAGTCTGGGCGCTTACCGCGAGGATGGCAATAACAATTCCCACAGCGCAGAGCACAGCGTCGTTGATTGTCTCCCCGGTTTTCAGCGGATACTTGATGCTCTCATCATTGCAGTAAAACCCCCGTTGGTAAGGCTTGATGGTGCTTGTCTCGATGATGATGAAAGGTAGGCCCGCTGGTCAAGATGGAACCATCATCACCATATCCAGGGGAGAAAACAAGACAGAGGGAAAACATCAGTGCAAAGAGGTCAAAGAAGAAGGCCCCACAGCAAACACCACCCCAGATAACAGCATGGATAGTGATGTCAATTCCTTGCCTTTGCAGTGACCTACAGCCTTCTGCATCACTACGAACAAAGCTAGTGGATGTGATGGAATTCCAGTTGAGCTATTTCAAATCCTGAAAGATGATGCTGTGAAAGTGCCGCACTCAATATGCCAGCAAATTTGGAAAACTCAGCAGTGGCCACAGGACTGGAAGAGGTCAGTTTTCATTCCAATCCCAAAGAAAGGCAATCCCAAAGATCACTCAAACTACCACACAATTGCACTCATCTCACACGCTAGTAAAGTAATGCTCAAAATTCTCCAGCCAGGCTCCAGCAATACATGAACTGAGAACTTCCAGATGTTCAAGCTGGTTTTAGAAAAGGCAGAGGAACCAGAGATCAAATTGCCAATATCTGCTGGATCATCGAAAAAGCTAGAGAGTTCCAAAAAAACATCCATTTCTGCTTTATTGACTACACCAAAGCCTTTGACTGTGTGGATCACAATAAACTGTGGAAAATTCTGAAAGAGATGGGAATACCAGACCCCCTGACCTGCCTCTTGAGAAACCTGTATGCACGTCAGGAAGCAACAGTTAGAATGGGACATGGAACAACAGACTGGTTCCAAATAGGAAAAGGAGTACGTCAACGCTGCATATTGTCACCCTGCATATTTAACTTACATACAGAGTACATCATGAGAAACTCTGGGCTGGAATGGGTGTTCATTGGAAAGACTGATGCTGAAGCTGAAACTCCAATACTTTGGCCACCTCATGCGAAGAGTTGACTCATTGGAAAAGACCTTGATGCTGGAAGGAATTGGGGGCAGGAGGAGAAAGGGACGACAAAGGATGAGATGGCCGGATGGCATCACTGACTTGATGGGCATGAGTTTGAGTGGACTCCGGGAGTTGTGATGGACAGGGAGGCCCTGCTGCCATTCATGGGGTCACAGAGAGTCGGACACGACTGAGCGACTGAACTGAACTGAACTGAACAGCCTTCTCTGGGGCTTCCCAGGTGGCTCAGTGGTAAAGAATCCGACTATAATGCAGGAGAGACAGGGTTCCACCCCTGGGTTGGGACGATCACCTGAAGAAGGAAATGGCAACCCACTCCAGGATTCTTGCCTAGGAAATCCCATAGACAGAGAAGCCTGGCGGGCTACAGTCCATGGGTCGCCAAAGGGTCGGACAACACTGACTAAGTGACTAAACAACAACAAAACCTTCTCTACATGCACCCCCTTCCTGCCTTTACTCATGACTAAGAAGGTGTAGAATGATCCTCTTGTCTTGACCAAGAGCACAGAGGGAGACAGTGCAAGCACCAGGGCAGGAGCTTTTCCACTACCTTACGTCATCCTGCAAAGTCACAGCACAATTTATAATTATCACTAACAAAGTTCCAAATCTAATGATGTCTCATGATGCCTCCAAGTGCCTTCCTCTCTTAAGCCAACCATTTCCCCTTCGAAAAGCTCATCTCAAGGCACTCAGGCATGGAATTCTGAAGACCCTGGAGTAAGATAACCTAAATTTAAACCCCCAGATCCACCACTTTGTAGCAATGAGACTTCTGCTTCTTTCTCCATCTTCCTGAGCCTCAGTTCCCTCACAAATGAGTTGTACTGATGTCTAAAGGGGATCAAAGCATCCAAAACTCCTAGCAGAGTGCTGGCACACAGAAGCTGCTCAGTGAACGGCATTTCCGATTCTTTTCTTTCATTGTTCAACAAGTCATTGACAAGACTGAGCAGAGCTGAGCTGGGCCCTGCTGCCTGCTGACCTGGAGCAGAGCCCAAGGGCATCAGGAGCACCGAGAGGCACTCTCGCAGCTGCTGCTAGTTTATCAGCGTCCAGTTCAGATGCCATTTTCTTAAAGGTCATGGAAAACAGATTTCATCACCTGCCAGGAAAGGCCCTTATAAGCCTGACGCAAAAAGTGAAGGCCCACAATCTCTCTTGCTTGGACCTGGCAGCAGCCTCCAGATTGGTCTCCTGGCCTTCTGTGCCTCTTACACACACCCATCCGTTTACTTCCTGAGCACGAGCATGTCACGGCCATGCTCAAGGTTTGTCAATGGTTCCCCACCACACAGGACAAGATGATGTTGCTAAGTCCAACCTCCAGAGTTCCCACAACTCGAACCTCCTTGACACACACTCCAACAAAACGGGACACAGGACTTCTGTCTTGGTTCATGCTCTCCTCTTAAGCTGGAAAGACACTTCCTCCCCCAGCTCCAAGTTCAACACCAAGCACCATTGCCACCTCACCAAGATGAGGAAAAGGTTAAAACAAAGTGAAAGGTGAGCCACTGCATGTCTAGATTAAGGAAGACCATGAAAAACATCTGGTCAATGATAACAGTCACTGCTGATGTGCGCCAACAATGTATAAGACACTTTGCATCCATTTTTGCATTGAACCCTCCAACAACCCTGAGTGGTCATTTAAAAATCACATAAACACTACTATCACTCATCTCCCAGTAGAGAAAAGAGAGGCTCAGAATGACTGTTTAGCTCACTCAGAGTCTCCAAAGTGCCTAAATCCCCAATTTAACTTTACAAATTGGTTTCATCCATATAGGAATTTCATTAGTGGGGGGGGGGGGGGGAAATATGATAAGCAGCCATTTAAAAGATAAGATTCCATTTTCATGTTTTTCCAAAAGAATTAAGCTCACATCATGTTGCTCAAAGGCCCAGACTGCCTTTTAAAAAAAAAAAAAGTACCACAGTTTTTCAATGACTTTGGTCCAGGCCAGCAGTGATAAAAAATGCTCACTTTCTAAAAAGTGTATTTATGTATCACTATGCATACACACATGGATTTATTTGGTTTTATTCTGTGGATTTATTTGAATTCTACAGCTATTTATTTTGTGACCCCTAACTGCTTCCTGCTAGAACAACAATTTACTTTATCAAATTCATACTGGTGCTTTGAAAAGAAAGCCCAGCCACACACCACAGCATTGTGCCTGACCTTCAGAAAGTAAACACAGAGGGGCCCTGGAAGGCAATCACCAGCAGCTCTTGAAATTCTGTCTCTGTGAGGATGGAGAAAAGGAGGAGGAAGGGGAGGCAGTGAATGCACGTTCTGGCTTAGTGGTGGCAAGTGCAGTTAGCTGATCCTCTTGGGTTGGGGGTTAGGAGAGAGAAGATACCCTGTGGGCCTGAGCCATCTTCATTCCACTGCCTGAACACTTTGAAATGTGGCCAAGTTGGCTATGAAAAGGAGCTGCAAAGCCAGCAGTATGATATTAATAGTCCACTTTTAAAGTTCCACACATCGTGATCAACACTGTTAGCTTCGCATCTGAGCCTGGCCACAGCCTCTGTGGTGCCGAGGAGCCAAAGCGTTGCTAATAAACTCAGGAAGGGAACAGACCCCCAGTTCCTTACATTTGTGCTCTGCTCTTAGGCCTCCAGCTTCTATTTTTAATAGTGTTCACATGATAGGCCTGTAAAACATATGTTTCTAAGGACAATAAAACACATATAAAAGAGCTGTGGAGTCAGACTGAACCCGGTTAATGACTTCAACTCTGCTCACCACTACTTGAGCAAGTCACTTCCCATCTCATGACCCTCTTCTCATCTGCTCAATGGGAAAATGAAGACTTGCTTTGAGATTGATGGGATGGTATAATACATTAATGTATTCACTCACTCATTCAACAAGTATTTATTGAGTCTCAAATATGCCTACGAAGTACAAGGAGTACAGAGATGACATAAGTCCTGCCCTCAGGAAGCTTATCGTCTAGTAGGGGAAGACACAGAACACGGAATGAAATCAGTACAGGCAGTTGTTTTAGTTGGAAGAAACCAGGCAAGAGCATGCGGAAGGGTCAGCACAGTCTGGTGCACACATGGACACTCAAAAATGCTGTAAGGAAGAAGGAAGGGAAAGTCCCACAGAGAAGGTTAGGGAAGAAGATCTGTCTGGTCAGTTCTGCACTCACCCTGGGAGCCATCCAAACCCTCTTCCTTCCTTCCTGCCCAAGGCTTGGGGAGGGTTTCCGGTTCCAATAACATGGATAATGACCACAAGCAGACAAGAAGTTGGATCTGAATATGGTTCGTTTTATCTTCTTGAAAGGCATGGAGACAGCATTGAGAAAGCCCAATGGCCTTTTCTGTCTCCCCTACAGACTTGTGGCATGATTGGGGGTGATGCCAGTCAAGTCTTGACTTGGCTCCAGGAAAAGAATAACCTCAGATTCCCTTCAGTTGATGGGAAAAGCGTAAATATGTCTCCCTCAATGGGGCAGCCAGTCCTCAAGTGACATAATGCCTTGCCTCTCCAGGACACAGAGATGAGGCCATTCTAATCCAAAGCAGGCTTTCCATTTCCAATGTTGGCACTATCTTTATTACCGATCACTATATTTCCTGGATGTTTCATTCCAAGAAAATTCCTAGTGATAGGTACTGGAAATTGAGGTGAGAGTACATCAAAGTACCTGGCCTCAAGAAGCTCACGGTGTTGTAAAAAAAAGTCATGAAAACAAGTGCACTAAAATATTTTTACAGTGTGAGGACTGACAGATGTAGAAAGTACAATGAACACACAAAAGAGCACTCTACAGGGGACACTAAAGATGGTCCGGAGGGGAGGTTTAATTCGACACTTATATGAGTAGTTTTCTGGGGTCCTAATGCAGGCATGCATGCTAAGTCGCTTCAGTCATGTCTGACTCTGTGAGACCCCATGGACAGCAACCCACCAGGCTCCTCTGTCCACTGAGTTTTCTAGGCAAGAATACTGGAGTGCGTTGCTATTTCCTTCTCCCTGGGGTCCTAAATACACTCATAAAAACAGTGTAGCTTACAGATTGCAATAGGGCTTCCTAAGGTGGCACTAGTGGTAGAGAATCTGTCTAC